AACGTTTTTAGATTGTTGTGCTGGAAGCAGTGTTCAAAATAAAAGGGTATAGGCTAACCATTTTAAGTGTACCAGTAAATTAATAAAATAAATAATCTAATTACATACTGCGTAACATTGTTCACAGTATGTCGTGAATGCAGCATTAGATAATTTTGAATCTGCATTGGTTTGAATCGCACCTGAATGTTAAGCGAATACACTACATTCAGTTGCTTTACTGACCCAGTTTCCTGGCACGTAGTTAGCAAGCCATCACCACTAGGCCAACTCATGAACTGTAGCTTGTGTGCTCAAGGAAACTGTTCATACAGAACATTGCTTCGTTGCTATCTTTCTTGTATGTAACCTTTGAGATTCATAGCATAAAATAAGTTTCGTGGGGTAAACAATAAAGGTTTTTTTTTAGATTAAAGTCATTTAGTGTTTCAAAAATATATCAATGAGTAGTATGTTGTTTAAATTATATCAAATACTAATGCGTTCACTTGTCACAAACATACATCCATACATACATCCATACATCCATACATCCAAACTTTCTCATTTATAATATTAGTAGGATAAATGGCTAGTAATACTTTTGTTCCGTTTTAAATACAGTAAACCAAAAATATGTATAATCATTATATTTAGACCTCTATAGGCTAATAATTTAGGTTGTCTTGGCCAAAGATGATTGTCTGAACCTAAATCATTTATAAATTTATCATGGTACCTTTAGAATCCGTGGGTTACTAAGAATTGTATAACAAGTTATGTTTTTGTGGCTTTTTGTTCAAGCAATTTTACATGATATAATTTATTATTTAGGTGCATTTTGAAAAAGTTATCTTTAACATAATTCTTCGTAACGTGTGGGAAGAATCTTTCAGCTTGACATTTGCCTCGTTACATATGCTTACGCTGAACAATCAAACTTATATTGCTTAAGCTAAACTATACAAGTTTCATTTTCGTCTGAAAAGTATTTTAATGGAGATTAACAAAGTAAGCTTCAAAATAAAACTTAAGCACCAATTTAAATAGTCATCACTAAATAAAAGTACAGTAGAAAGAACTCAATGTTTCGGATTAATATGTCCCTATCCTCAACTTAAATGTCCAACATCTTCAGAAAGAGTTTAGAAGTAAGTATTTGCATTATAAAGCTAAATATCGGTAAAATGAATTTAGATTATTATCGAAGTTTGCTTAAACTCCATGTTATACTAAACCGTTTATGTTTGTCTCAAGAACAAAAGAGGGAGGTTATAAAATGTCGTGCCTGAAGGATTGATCGTTTCATCAGTAATGCGTTGAGCGCGGAGACGATATCATCGCCTAATGGAGACATGAATAACACATGGCGCTGTGATTTGTGCCTTCGACACTATACGTAGACACCCAACTTGGCGTAGTAAGTACACCTATACTTACTTCTTATGATGACACTCTAATAAAAATCTATCTCATGATATACAACACAGGTTACCACTTTCGCCAAAAAAGTTGTCGCTCTCTCATCATAGGCTATATCAAATACAGTATCTCATACCAAGACATTGCCATAAAAAAATTACTTATACTGTATAGTTTGTATATAGAAATCTTAAATAGGTTATCTTGACTCACGCCAAATATGCACTCAACACAAGACATTGGACATCATAGGCTATCTCGACTATCGCCTACTCTAGCATCACGATCAATGACCGTGCTCTGTCACCCTCATATTAGAAAGTTTACCTGATGTCTACATTAACACCAATTTGGATGCCACAAGGAAACACCCTAAAAGGATATCTAACCTGGGGCCCTATTTTTGAAATGGTTGACAGTTGACTCTACAGTCAACACTCAACTCAACCAACAACAGGATTTGGTATTTTTGAAATCCAACAGTTTGGAAGTGAGTTGGAAATCACTAGTTGAGTGACTCGTTTTGGAAATGTAGAGCATACGACCACCCGAAATTCAGATGACGTCATTTTAAACCAATCACAATGCAGAGTTTTTGTGATCTTCGATTTTACCTCTTCTTACTCTAAAATCTGGATCAGCTAATCTCAATCTACCATATTTCGAGATACTGAGGTAAACTGTCAACTCCGTTCTTGAGAGATTGAGGTTATGTCTTGCTTAATCTTAGTGATTGCAAAAGTACCTTAATATAAACTTATAAGTATTAACAATAAAATTTACTATGGATGTTTGATTATTTTATGGTGTAGCTCATTATAAGTTTAGGCATATCCTAAATACATTATTATTTGCTTTCTTCGTATCTATTTCAGAACACATCACCTTATTTTAGTTTTCTTCATAGTTTTGTTTCATGTTTTTATTTAGGTTAAAGCTTATGGCTATTTGCCATTGCACTGAAAGCTTATCGTAACTTAAATTAATTTGATCCCTTTGTTAGGTGAATGGTATTGAAACAAACTATGATATTGTTTCTCTCTACCAATCTTTAATACCTTAAATCATAGGTCTAATAACAATAATTATCTTTTAATAAGTTCAATTAAGTTAGTATGCCTAGTGTATTTCAAACAAATTAAATAGTCTTATAACAAAGTAAATAGATTAAATAGTCTAGTATTGACACAGTAAATAAAATTAACAATCGCATAAAGTATTGGGTGCTAAGACATTGACAACAAATACATAACCTCTAAATCACAATTAGTAAATTAAAGCAATAACAAAACAATATGGCGTCGACCCAAATAGAGTAATTTTTTGCCAAAAGAGAGGAAGAAGTAAGTGCAGTCAACCTCCACTCAACAGCTCGATAGGTGTTGAGTAGTTTTGGTTGTATAAGTCCGCCGTCAATCGTTTCAAAAATACGAAACGATTGGAAATAGAATGACTCGACACTCAACTCAACAGTCAACCATTTCAAAAATAGGGCCCCTGTTGTGGTATCACTTTATTCGTTTAGGCGACTGGCTTTTATGATTATGATCTCGCACTACCTAATCTGGCATTATTATCGGCAGCATTTAGTTAAAAGATAACTAACACCAACACTGGTATTACTTTCAACACATTAGTGGACACCCACATTATTTAACCAGCATACGTTATCATTGGCTGTAGATACAGCTGATATTGGTCAATAACAAATATACAAATGTTATTTCAGTCTCTCCAGAGTCTTCCTAAATTGCACCATCCTTTTTATCCATTTACCATAAAATAATAACCACACGACCGATACGTCAATTATACAGGGTGAATAAAAAGTCAAGACCCCCCCCTCTAATATTTTTCCAAGTAAATATACAGATTTATCCTTTAGGTGGTCTACATTTAAAATTTTTGAGTGTCCCCCAAAAGGGGGGATTCGGGGGACAACTAACAATGTTTCAATAGAAACCCCCTTCAAGGGACACCTCATTTTGAAGTGTTTATAAAAACTTAAAGAATGGTGAAAACCAGAGCTCGCTATCTCTTCTCTATCCAAAATGGCAGCCAATATTAACAATTTTACCGTTGATTTTCCACAACATTTGACGGGCTACCATTTTGGATAGAGAAGAGATAGCGACCTCTAGTTTTCACCATTCTTTAAGTTTTTGTAAACTCTTTAAAATGAGGTGTCACTTGAAGGGGGTTTACATTTAAAATATTTGAGTTGCCCCCCAAATCCCCCCTTTTGGGGGGGCACTCAAAAATTTCAAAATGATAAAATGAAACTTCCTGCTAAGATTGCTTGACCGCCAAAAGGATATCTCTGTATATTTACTTGGAAAAATATTAGAGGGGGGGGGGTCTTGACTTTTTATTCACCCTGTATATTAATAAAAAAATAAGCACCATGAATATGGGTGTTATAATTCACTACCTATAGATTTACAATTTAAGACCTGACACATCAACTGTCATTGTCTAGGATACGAGCCATCGAGGCGATTGGTGACGTTATACATGACACCATAACTCTGATTTAATTCCGACACTATCTTAAACACGTTTCATGCTATAACACCAACCTTGATTTTCATAAACAATCTGACACATAACTCATTATTAAAACCTGATTTCATATTATCGTATATTTACTACCTCTATCTCAGTTTAGCACCAATACTTGATAAATGGGTTGTTAAAGAATTTATACTTTGTTTACTGCATACGTTAACAGTTTTATGTAGACTATAGGTATAAAAAAGTATCTCTCTTCACCATGACCTAAATTTTAAAATAGTAAAAATCACGCGTATCTTCACATATCAATTGGACCAAACAAACTGTAAAAGTAAATTGCCTTTATTTGTGTTTTTTGAGGCTGTGGACACAATGTGGGCCTAAAAATGGAAAATGTCTGCATTAAAACCACAAATAACAACGTACTACGTGTTTTAGTCCTGCACATGGAACCGGGTTTACTTTTGTCTCAATTTCTTCAAAAATCGATATATTTATTTATTCTACGGTAGTGTAATTTACAATCTATCTTCTATCTGTATCCTTATGCAATAATGGGGGTTTCTGTTACATTCCTTTTCAAGCCAAACTACTAAGCAGATTTTTACGATTGACGCGTCATTTTAAAGCTTGATACCTAGCAAAGTGACGAATGGTAATTAAAAAGATAATTTCCTTTAGGGCTTCACCTCCATCATGTTTTAATTATTTCTAGAGTCTAAATTTTCAAACATAAAGTTCAACTATATTGTCAAAGATATAGTTATGCTGACCAAGTTTCTTTATAGTGGTTACAATGTGAATTGTAACTTAACACATGTTCCTTCAGTTGAATGTTTAGCCACAGTCAGATTGTAAACAAGAGACTAAACATCTTATGACATTTATGTAAATAGGCTACCTTTTTGAAAACTATGACCTGAATGAGGTAATCACTCTTTAATTATATTTTAAATCTACAGTAATATCGAAAAATGTATTGTAAATTAGCAGTTCTATATACCTAACTATCATAAACAAACATATTGAAAGTTTAGAAACACTACAAGGACAAGATGTACATTACTACACTCATCTGATTGCAGAGGGAGTCATTGACACGTGGTTGTTAGTGAGCACTCCGCTGCCTGTCCTGTCTACGATAGTTCTCTATCTGGTAGTGGTGCTCAAACTGGGACCTAGCTACATGAGATACAAGGAACCAATGGAGTTGAAGCGACTCATGATGTTCTACAACCTCTTCCAAGTGGCCTACAATATGTGGATGCTTTATTTGGTAAATATATTTACAGTTTTGGTGTGAACAGAAATAAAATCAACATAAAATGAGGTCACTAAGCTGTCGTCAATCAATCCTATATTTGTCGTGATGACTATAGTTTCGGGGCTACAACCCCATTTTCAAATATTTCCCTTCAGTCCTCAAATTGTTAGACTATTTTCCTGCAATTGCCGTTGTCAAAATACGTCACACATACACATGGAAACATTAAGATTTACAAAAATTATGTACAAGTGTGGCCAAGGACAAAACCAGAATAAAATGGAAGATTTGAAAATGGGGTTTTAACCCCGAAACTACAGTCGTCACGAACAAATATAGGATTAATTGACGACAGGTTAGTAACCTCATTTGGTGTCAATTAATCAAACCCAAAGGCAAATTATGTATAAAACAAAATCAACTTTCTCAAAATCTAAACATTTAAAGGTACAATATTTCAAATGGGTTAAGACAAAAATCTGCAAACACGCTCCCACCACCCAAAAAATGTCATTTTACTGACGGTTTGTGAAAAAAACAAGTCCCCTTGTGATTGTAGATTCAAGTGCCTTCCTCTATTTGGTGAGTAATAGATGTTTTTCGCACAACAATAGCTCAACCAAAACCTTAACATTTATTTACGTTGAAATGTCTTCTTATTCTTGTTTTTGGTGCGTGACTGGATGTTGGAGCATGGGTCCTTTTAGCCAAGCATAATGTGTTTTATTTTTATTTAATTTCACAGGTGTTTTCCTCCAGTGCAGCTATCAGGTACCTGATTGACCACAGCTGCCACCCTACCGATCCTAGAAACACATTTGAGTTGCGATATGTTGTAAGTAATTGCAACCATGTTTTTAAAATGAATGTATATACCTTATTTTTTCAATTATAAAATCAATTCTTTCACTATTAGTCAGTAAATGTTTGGAATTAAATTAATATGCTGTCACCTTTTCTCTGTAATAGCATTATCATGTCAGTTTTAAGCGTTTAAAAGCCAAAGTAATCCAAATAAAGTGCACGTTCCTCATTTCGACCGACTTTGTTTGCACGTAATTGGGATAATGTGTGCACGTTATAGCATACATTATCAAACTAACAGTATTTGAGTAGCATGCAATATTTGACTTATGTTTGATTGAGTATCATTCAATATTGACATGAACGTGATGATGTTTGCGTTTCAGTTTCACCTCACTTCTTGGCACTACCTTTGCTCCAAAATTATCGATCTTCTGGACACGGTAAGCCTGGTTAAAGTTTACGTTAATACGTATGATGAATATTTTATATGATTTAATCTGTGTAGTGGCACTTGAAACAATGTTCTCTCTACAAATGTACGTAATCATACGTATTATAGTAGTTTATTAATTCTTGAAGCAGCATGAATGGTTTTAAAATTGTGAATCTCCTATTGGTTAAATTCACAACAGTGTTTTAGTTAAGTTTACATGTGTAAAACACGGTATCCGTTGTGATTGAAGCGCGAAAGTCACTGTCCTAGGTGCACGAGTTCATATTTAGTCAATAACTGTGTTATAATGACTTGATCTCGTGTTTAGACTGTAATATGAAGATCTACCTACAGGGTGGGGCAGAGTGGACTCCCTAGTTTCAATCAGTCGCTGAAGAGCGTGCGCGCGAGTTAGCGGAGTGGGAGAGGCTTCATGTGGTGGGGGAAAGACGCCATTGTTAGTAGTCACCATGCCGTAAACTGGCGAGCAACGTGGTTTTGTAGTCAAAAAGTTCTTAAAAAATAAGGATAGTGTGGTGGTGGCCCAGAGTGCATTTCGTAGACGGTTTGGTTTGAATTGTCATGACAGTGTTCCCGATGCTAAAACCATAAGGAAATGAATTACAAGTGTACGGGTGACCTAATATGCAACTGAGGTTTACAAAGTTCGACCAAGGACCTTGGAAGCCCTTAAGGAAGCAATTGTTGATGTTATCACTGGAATAATGCCAGATATGCTGCGCTGCGTAGAGTTTTGAAAACTTCATTGAACGGCTGAATATGTGCATCGCTCGTCAAGGTCTTCACCTGGACGATATCAATTTTAAAACTTAATGAAAAATAAATGGCATTGTATTTAGATTTCAGAAATAAAAAGCTTTTGTAATAATTGTGTATGGTTTTTATACAGTTAACCGATCAAATCAGGCAGTCCACTCTGCCCCACCCTGTACTTAGGTGATGAGGACGTTGTCTGTGTGGAGAGATCCGTTGACTAAAAGCAATAACACTATTTTAACGTTATATAGTGCTTAGAAAGATCAAAATAACCAGGCAATTTCAATAGCAGAACTAAGCACTGATGCTTAGTTCTTTAATCGAAAATTGCCTTTGGCTGTTTATGAAACTGCAACATTAAAAAAGACTTGAGTAAGAGAACATAAATCCTCTAACCCTAAATTGGAATGTATTATAACTGTTAAAATCTCAATACAAACATCCAGCATTGTTATATATTCGAACTTTAAATTTAAAGTAAAAGTTATTTTGCAATAGGAATTATAGTAAGCTGGCTTTTTCAGTGCATAATGGTGCTTCGGAAAAAGCAGTCTCACATTACCTACCTTCATCTTTATCACCACGTGGCGATGGTGTTCTTCACCTGGGTGTCCATGAGATACATTAGAGGTATTGGCTAAGTTTTATTAGTTATTTTCTTATTCATAAAATACGATGTTATTTAGGTCATTTGGCTATTCGTTAAGTTGCTAATGATTGAGCCACTGTATTAACGTTGCCAGTGTAGGTCAGATGTATAAAACATTTTTTTTTTATTCAAGACAGTTTTTTTCTAGACTGTTTTCATTAAAAGTACACGTACAAGCACACGTGATTGAGCTATCCTATGAGAGATATCCTTAATATATTTTCCTGGATATTTTTAGGATAACATTTGTAAGATGTTAAGCACCCGCAAATTGATTATGGGATGTCTTAGTAGAAAAAAAAACAATTACTATGTGTTTGTTGTTATTTTACATAAGTAAATAGCCAGTGTTTTGTTTCAGCTCAACAAGGGACGCCACCTATTATCCTCAACAACCTAGTCCACGTGGTTATGTACACATACTACTTCCTGGCCAGTCTGGGGCCCGAGGTGCACAAGTATCTTTGGTGGAAACGCTACCTCACCAAGTTGCAACTGGTAAGGCAGGCAATCCAAGCGCTTTTGAGGCTGTAGTGAATATTTACAATTATCATATTTATGTAACAAGCTCAAAATGGCTCAATCGCCAACTGGTTATGGTGTTCGATATTACATCTGGTAACTGGTGTGATCCCAAATATTTGTCTAGGATTTCGGTGGCTTTTCTTGTTGAGATATCAATTAATAATACTTTTGAAAAAAAGGTCAACGTTAGAAGGTAAACCGACCAGGGTTTGAACGTTCCATCGCTAAAGACCGTAAAATTATAATAATTTGGACATACAAAAAAAGAAAATCAGACAACCGCATTCAGATAGTTTAGGGCTAAGTTGTTTTACTTGTATTTTGTGAGTTTTACCTTTGTTTGATTTGGATGACACATTCTTATACTTAGGCTCTGAAATAAAATACATATACTTGTTTTAGTTTGCATAAAATACGTTGAGTTTAGTTTCAACCTTTGGTTATCTTTCACAAAAAATGATTTTAATTTTATTGCCATTATCAGGTGAATGGCTAAGGACATCGTGGAATACTAATTACTTACATTGATTCACAGACACAGTTTGCCTTAGTGATCGCCTACCTGGCCTACTTGTACCTCAACAGCTGTGAAGTGTCTCAAGCCTTCAACGTCATCTGGATAACCAACGTCAGCGTCATCGCTGCTTTCTTTGTCAACTTTTACATTCAGACATACGTCATCAAGCCAAGAAGGCTTCACGTCAAACCGGAGTGAAAATTTGAATATACCATAATGCAGGGGCTACAGACATAACTGATTAAGAGAGCTTTAGCTGTAAGCTTCAAGATGACAGTAAGATTATACAGGTGTTTGTGAACTATCTCGAAAAAAATCACAGGATTATTCCTTGGGTTAATACATGAATATTTTACATTATAAACATGGGTCGCCGGAGCTTCGTTTTCCGTCTGTCTGTCTGTATGTGATTTTTATAAATAACTTTATAACTCGAGTTTGAATCGAGGTACAAACTTTAAATTTGACACACTTGTGTATTTTAACGTGTTACACAAACATGCAAAATTTCATTTCGTTGACTATAGCCGTTTCAAAATGGTGGCCATCTAAAATCTTTTACCTCAAATTACATGAAAACTACTAGAGTTAAAAAAAAAACACAAGAATAACAAAATTTAGGAAATTTTATACCAAATCAAATGACACCTAGATTTTAAAGATCGGACAACAAACAGCTGAGTTATACATTTTTAAAATAATTAATAATTTATTTACTGGCTTTTAATTGTTATTGTTTATTCTTTAAAATCATCTGAAACAGAGTACATTACGTAATCTTAAACAGATCTCAATAGTTAAGGTAAAAATAGGACACTTAATACATTTACCATCTAGTAAAAAAACTAAATGTTGTTGTTAGGGCAAACCTGTCTTACATTGTTGTAACAATTTAGAAAGGATCAGATGATTTTAAAGAATAGACAATAACAATTAAAATCCAGTAAAGAAATTATTAATTATTAATAAAATTAATAACTCAAAATAATCATGTGATCATCATCTCAAAATCATCTGTCCAACCAGCTGTCTTACGTTGTTGTGACAATTTAGAAAGGATCAGAAGATTTAAGAATAAACAATAACAATTAAAAGCCAGTAAAGAAATTATTAATTATTTAAAAAATGTATAACTCAGCTGTTTGTTGTCCGATCTTTAAAATCTAGGTGTCATTTGATTTGGCATAAAATTTCCTAAATCTTGTTATTCTTGTGTTTTTTTGTAACTCTAGTGGTTTTCATGTAATTTGAGGTGAATGATTTTAGATGGCTGCCATTTTGAAACGGCTATAGTCAACGAAATGAAATTTTGCTTGTTTGTGTTACACGTCAAAATACACAATTGTGTCAAATTTAAAGTTTGTACCTTAAATATTATAAGGTTATTTATAAAAAACACATACAGACAGACAGACGGAAAACGAGGCTCCAGCGACCCATGTTTATAATGTAAAATATTCATGTATTAACCCAAGGAATAATCCTGTGATTTTTTTCGAGAGAGTTCACAAACACCCTGTATGTTAAAGTATCATTACAGGAAAGTTGTTTTAAGTGTCGTAAAAGTTTAAAGCTGATACGACTACCAGCAAGATAAGGTCACCAGTTTAAGAGTCTTATCTTAGTGCAGAGTTTTTATACAAATTGTATATATGTGGATATTTTAAAGCAAATAATAACGTCATTACACATCGGTTACATGTAATATATTTTACTTAAACTACATATTATGCTGATGATAACTAAAATACTCTACTCGTTTGATAAGTTTACCATATTGTAAATAAAGGTATTTTATAAACGAGAAGCTTGTGCATTATGTGTTTTAAAACACCCACATCAAATAGTTTCGTAATTTAACCACTTCAGTAAATACAGACATTATTTATTTACAAAATTGTGTTTGTTTATGTTATAATTATCCTGATAAAACGATTGAATTACATGTACTCGGAACCAGGTTTCCATATCACTGCAATTTAGTATGATTATAAAATTTGAATGGTTGTAAGTTCCAACTTTTTTTTAATTTTACTTGAGATATACAGGGTTAGTAAAAAGTGTGGAGACCCCCTGTTATTTTTTTAACGACCCATACTAGAAAAACTAAACTCGGCACACCTTTATGACATGTTATGAAGTACTTTTTGGGCATAACTGTCACTTGGTTTACATCCCCAAAATGGGGGATTTCGGGGGAAACTAAAAAATTTCAAATACAAAAACCCATTGAGTGACCTCTCATTTTGAAGGTCGTGGTAAAAGAAAACCAACAACGCAAACTAGAGGTCTTTATCTCAATCCGGTAAAAAATGGCAGCCAATTGAAATTCTCAGAAGTTAAATTTAACTTACAGCTTTCCAAGTCTGGAGACCCGCTGTAAATTTTGTAGCGGCTCACACTAGGATAACTAAACTCTACACACTTTTTTGGCATGTTATGAAGTACTTTTTAAGCCTAATAGCCACTTGCTTACCAAACCCAAAATGGGGGATTTTAGGGGAAACTCAAAAGTTTTAAAAGATAAGCCCCATCGAGTGATCCCTCATTTTACCCCTCCTTTACGGTCGTTGTAAATGTAAACGAAAACTAAAAACGCAAACTAGAGGTTTCTATCTCAATCCAGTAAAAAATGGAAGGTGATTGAAATCTTTAGAAATTGGAAATAACTTGCAATTTTATATTCAATTGGCTGCCATATTTTACTGTTTTAAGATAGAGACCTATAGTTCGCGTTGTTCGTTTTATTTTATTATGACCTTCAAAATGAGGGGTCACTCGATGGGACTTATCATTAAAAAATTTTGAGTTTCCCCCAAAATCCCCCATTTTGGGTTTTTGAACTTATGAGAATTTCAATTGGCTGCCATTTTGTACTGAACTGAGATAGAGACCTCTAATTTGCGTTGTTGGTTTTCTTTTACCAGAACCTTTAAAATGAGGGGTCACTCGATGGGTCTTTGTATTTGAAATTTTTTAGTTTCCCCCAAAATCCCCCATTTTGCGGATGAACACCAAGTGGCAGTTATGCCCAAAAAGTACTTCATAACATGCCATAATGGTGTGCCGAGTTTAGTTTTTCTAGTATGGGCCGTTAAAAAAATAACAGGGGGTCTCCACACTTTTTACTAACCCTGTATATATATTTATACACAATACTTTTATTATCTAAACAATGAATATATTAAAAAAGTAATCTAAATACAGTTAAACTATTACTTAGCTCAAACTGGGGTAACAATGGTTTTTTAATATTTTTATCACATTTGAAAACTTTTACTTCTAAAGTGTTTGAACACTAACCATAAAGTAGGTTTACCTCTTTTTTTAACCTTTACCATCATTAAATTTACAGCCTTAACTTTTAATATTTTTTTTTTATTTAAAGTAATATTTTCATCTCCAGGTAAATTTTCAGTACAGTGAAACTAGTTACTTAAATACTCAATAACATACACTATTTTTAATGCCATTGTATACGGGATTGAACAGGTTACCGAGAAGTCGGGTGTCAATTTAAATGTTACACCGAGATATGGTGTTGTGTCGACACTTCCTGTAGTCCTGAGTCCTGACCTTGCCCAACCTACTGACCTTGACGTAACCTCAACACCTGTACCTGTCTTACCGGTCAACAACTTGTGTGTGTGTGTGCGTGTAGGTGCGTGTGTAGGCATCAGTACCGTTGTGCTTTTGTTTTCGTCTACTGAGTATTTGATGTACTTCAGTTCAAGTATATTAGTTTTATAGATAACCTGAGGTTATGATAGTTGGTTTGAAACATCAATCCTTTATTATGACTTGAGAGTGCGTTATTCGTAATGTTTTGCTCCTCAGTTACGCTGGTGCTATTAGAACTGCTTGTTATTTTATAATAATCATGCTTTGATAGTACGGATAAAATGAAGCCAACTTATATCTGATGGATGACTAACGATAAATGGTTTGTAACAGTCAGTGTTACTAGTACCGCTACGTTACGTAATAAGTATGTTAATTCAATTAAAGTGAACACTAATTTAATTTTCATAAAACGTACGATGACCCTTACATACTGCATGTGTCTATTCCCGAACAGAAATTGTATCCAATCATTAACATTCAATCAAATTTTGTATAATTATCTATGAAAGTTCAATATTTGAATAAAACTCGTCCTTCAGGCATTTCCAAATTATTAACGTATCCGGTGTTGGTAACATTTCCAGCAATTGGTAACGGTGGTAAATAAATATTGCGCAGTTTGGGACACTATTGTATTCTGTTTAATTAAACAGTATCCTATTTTAATGTAACAGAAATATGTTACGTTAGTTCATTGGAAACCTTTTCTCACAAAATTGTGTTAAATTATACGGTTATATATATATATATATATATATATATATATATATATATATAAAAAAAAAAAAAACTCACAATGATACAGTTTTACCAAATTATTTTACAACGACAGTTTTAATATGTAACAAGCTATGAATAGTACCTATAACTGAGAATGAATTTTCCTTTAATAAAAATAAATCATTGTGTTTAGACAAGTAGGTGAATTATCATCGTATGTAATTACTTACAAAAGTAATTGATAAGAATTAATTTAAACGCCTTCTTAATTTCTTTGTTTTTTTCTTTACGATGACTTGTTTATTTACATAATCACTTATAAAACATTAAATATTTTAAAAATTCAAAACTTGCCTTACAGATTGCTCACTAAGCCTAAGTTTTCAAAGTCTTTCATGGACTTGATCTTGACAGCTTTGGAGGTAGGCGTTATCCTGATATAAACGTGACCATCCTTCAGCCACGCGAAGCATATCTGTCTAGTCTCCTCTAACCGCTTTGCGCTCTTCATGAGGCTCTTCTTGGCGTTGCTCAGGTGTTCATTGATGTAAACATCAGCTCCTGGTATCCTGGGCAAACACTCAGCGCCTGGTATAACTATCAGGTCTCTGCCCTTCTTGAGCCACCGGTCCTTTAACTCACGAGACACAAACCTAACTATAATAGACTGTTGTTCCACCTTCTTGTAGTAGTTATCTGAACTCGATTCTTCTTTCCTCCAAACTGCTGAAATATGGGACTCATTAAAGGGAATGTTGATCGCACGACTGACATTTCTGAGAATTTCCATGAGTTGTTCCCTGTCTGTTTTTGGAATACCTATAAGCTCAAGATTTTCGACCCTGTTGTATGTAACGACATCGTCAGCATAAAGCCTTAGCTGCCGGTATTTGTTATCCAGTTCCTTTTGATCGTGTTTAACATCTTTTAAAATACAACTGATGGTTTCTGTCTTCTTTTTTAATAATTCACAAGTAGCTTGGAGATCCCTGAACTCTGATTCGACCGACCCCGCACACAAAGTCAATAGTTTCAATAAACTACACAAAATCAACAATCTTGCCTCATTCATTAAAATATGTTTGAAGTTACATCTACTTTAAAAATAAAATATGGCA